CTGAACCCTCTCCTTACTTCTCAGAGAATCAAAAACTCTTGTCGTTTCGTGATCACCGTGCCCAAGACGGCCTCCAGCCATCACATTGCCCACAAGTTCTTCTCTGTTCACAAACAACAGGTCCAGCGGGACACCTTCCCTATCTGGCTCACTCACCAACTGTGTCAGGAAGTTCTCTTCCCTCAGTCGAGGAACCTCCTGGACTGTTTCCTCTCTGCTGTATTGTATTTCCAGCAGACATCTGGTAAGTCAAAGTCTTCCACGAGAACAAGGGCTAGCAATTGTGAGACTTCTCCCAGCTGCTTATAGAATATTTCGTCTGCCTCTTCATCCAGGTTGGGTGGTCTGTAACAGAATCCCACCATAATATCTGCCTCGTTGGCCTTCCCCCTGATTCTTACCCATAAGCAGTCAACCTCATTGTCACCGTCATCAAGCTCTAGACAGCCAAAACACTCCCCAACATACAGGGCTACCCCACCGCCTCTCCTTCCTTGCCTGTCCATTCTGAAGAGCTTATATTGCAGCACTCCAGTTGTGCGAGTCATCCCACCATGTTTCCGTGGTGGCAACTATATCATAGCTGTGCTGCACAATGGCTTCCAGCTCCTCCGGTTTGCTGCCCATGCCGCGTGCACCGGTGTAGATGCACTTGAGCTGGGCTATTGATCCTGCCGCCTTGCTGGGGGGAGAGGCCCTAATTCCTGTGTGACCATTCTTAGGCGCTTCCATGGTTTCTAACACATCAGTAACCCTTGTGTCTTTGCTGCCGCAAGGCGCTCTGTCCCCCGCCTCCACGTAGACGGCAGACCGAAGGATCTTCTAGCACGCCATCCCCCAGACATCGGCGTGCCACCCCCCAGGCTTATCTTGTTGCTTTCAGAGGAACCAACTGCCATAAACTTTACTGGAGGATGAGGAGATTAAATTCTACTCTCAAGTCATCCTCCTTTCTGTGCTTTCTTACCAACTTTTTATCTTTTGGTCTCCACTGATGGGTTATTTTTGTCCATTTTTGTTTGCTCTTCCTTCATCATCCGTGTAACAAAGAGCAAACATTATTTGGATGTTTGAAAATACAAGATGAAAAATCATACTTCTGAGTTCTTTTCAAGTCTAACACTGAAGTATGTTAAAACAGTGCAGTCTTTGCAGGAGGAATCAAGCATTATGGGGGAGGTCAGTTGGCCCTGACGGTCAGGATGGCCAGCTCCAGGTACTCTACTTGAGGCTTTTGCTTTTTGAGCCCATCGGTATGAAATTGCGACCTTTTACCATGCTGTTCATTCACGGTTCCTTGATTTTTTACTAAATGTATTAAACCATGCTGCTTTATTATTGCCTTGAGGGACCTCACATAATTGTTTTGTTTTTTCATACCTAAATTTCAGTTCTTTTATTAATGAAAGAATGAAGGGTTACATTATGAAAACATTAATACAAAGCAGCTGCTCTTTCATGTTTTGTAAAGGTGAATTTCTCTCTCAATACGAGACAGATAATCTTTTCTTTAGGTATGAGGTTACTCCCCCAAGTTTTCTTTTCTTTGGGTTTTGTGGGTTTTTTTTTGTTTAGCTGCAGTTGTTCTGCAGCCTCCACCACATATGGCATGTATTGCTGCTGATGGAATGAAATTGCTAATAAGAAAAATAGACTGAAGTGCCCGCAAGAAACTTTATGTGCACCAAAGTTCATCTCGGATATAATGTTGTTCCCAGATGTGTGCGTATGTCTGTCTTGGTGGTGGAAGTCGTGTGAAGCGGACTGTGCCCTACAGATTTGGGAGTCTCTTTCTACTTGGTGTTGGTAGTGATGTAGGTTCCTGTTGGCATATTGAATAAGAAGTAGTACGACTGTAGAGAGTTCTAGGATTTATCTGGGGAGTTGGTTCAGTGCAGGATGAACAAATTACGTATGTCAGTAGGTCAGTGAGATAGCTTTTGTCTTTGAAACCAGATTCCTGGGCTTTCTCTGGTTGGAAAAGGTACGTGATATTCTGAATGTTGTGTTCGTGAAAATGCAGCTGTAGTAGAAATGGTCATCCTACATAACGTTGAGGAATGCAATGAAAGAGAGCTTGTAGGTTGGGACTAAAGCAGTAACAGAGCTCTGGGAATACAGAAAATGGGAAGATGTTACTGTAGAGAAGTGTGAAACTTGTTAAGTCTTTGTGCCAGCTCCTTCTTCTACAGTTCTGACCAATGCACTGATCCCTCATGATCTTCAAAGCAAAGTCACAGAAATGCTTTTGTTATAGCTACGTTTTCACGATGTGGTTTGTCAGGTGTTCACAGAGAAAGCGTTTTGTTTTTCTAGGTCCTGCTTTGCTGCTCACCAGTGATAACATCAAACAGCGACTTGGTTCTGCTGCTCTGGATAGGTAACTGCCCTCATTATTATTTCCAAAAACATGCAGAAAGATACTATGCTGGTCTTACAAATATGTGTGTTAGAACACAGGATTTTATTCCCACATATTGTGCTTTCTGATCGAGGTGTTCAAGACGACATTTCTAAGAGTATTTGGTTTAAATGTGGGTGGGTTTTTTTCCATAGTTACATTCTTACTTGTGAAATTGGAAAAGCTGAATTGGTCCAGGTGGGTACTATGCCCTCATTCTTAGGGATGCCGTGGAAGCCTTACTGAAGTTAGGCATCGTTGCATCGTCTTTCCTCTTGTGTATATATTTAATGGTATAAATAACGGAGAAATAAAGAATGCAGGAGCCTAGAAGGGTGAGCAGATAAGTTTCTTAGACTGGATGCAAGTCTCTGATGCCCTTCAGATTTTGTGCCTGATATGTAAGATTTCTCTCTACTCTGTCAGGAGCTGTGATATAAACCAGTTTGGATCTGTTGGTTTGTTTTGTTTGTTTTTCTCTTTTCTGTCCCCAGTATCCATGAATACCGGCTAACTAGCTGGCTGGGACAGCAGGAGGATATTCACCGTATTGTACTCTACCAGGCAGACAGCACCCTTACTCCCTGGACTCAGCGCTGCATCCGGCAGGCTGACTGCATCTTAATTGTTGGACTGGGAGACCAGGAGCCTACTGTTGGAGAGGTGTGGAAATAGCTCCCTCCTGTATCTGAAGTGTTAACAGTCCAAATCAAAGAAAGTTGTTTCGTAGTCATGAATTTTCATGGGTTTAATAGCCAGTGAAGCATAAATAATGAAATATTCCTGAGAAATGTGTGTTATAAATAGAGGATCCTCACTGAGTTCTTCTTCTGAGGTGGCAAGTTGTATGTTGAAGTATTTCTAGCTAGGTTCTTCTCCTCTAAAGCGCCGTTTTGGCCAATAGTAAATCAAAAGCCAAACTGCTTTGAACCTTTGCGTTTCTGTGCAGAATTTCTTTGCAGGATCTCCAGATAGAGAGAGAAATTCTTTTCTGCCTGGATGGAATTCATGGTGTGTGTGTAGGAGAAAGTAGATAGAAATTATATTGTATGAATAATTTAATGTATTTTATTACAGATTGTAAGCTGCTGGGGTTTTTAAACTCGTACGATCTATCTTTATTTTTGATATTTTACTGCCAAAGTTGTTTGCCCAGGCACATAAATTCTGCAAGAAATTTAAAAATGAGGTCACAAGTGCGTTTTTTAGGATTGTGAAGTGCTGAGTCTGACCTCCAAAGAGCCTGGGACTGTTACCACCTGCAGCGTTCTTGTGTGTCACTTTGTGTTGGTTCTTCATGACTGTCTGTGGGAGGCAGGAAGCACAGTAAAGGCAAGTCTCCATCAGTTGCCTAAAGCAGCAAAAAAATAAAAACAAGGAATGCGAGGAGGAAAGAGCGGTCTGATTGCAAGTGAAAAAACAAGCTGAACGTTTGTAGGCTTAAATGTGACTTGGGAAGCGATCTCATTTTGCATGAACAGCGTGTGCATTTAATCGTCCATGTTTTAGGTAAAAAGCGTTCATTTTTAAGCATTCAGGTTTGAATCCTTGTTTGATTTTAGAGTTCTGTATGCCATGTAAGCCCACAGCTGACAGTATAGTTTGAGGCTTGTTAGTGTGCGAAGTTGTCTGCAGGTTCAGATAGGAATAAGGGTCAGATGTGGATATATATGTGTGTGGATATTTGTATTTCACAATACAGTATTCCGTTAAACTGATGCTGGAGCAGTAAATACCTGACACCCCCACTCCTTTGGTGTGTATCATGTGCTGTAGCTGGAGAAAATGCTGGAGAACACCGCGGTCCGAGCCCAGAAGCAGCTTGTCCTGCTCCACAAGGAGGATGGGCCTCTCCCTTCCCGGACTGTGGAATGGCTCAACATGCGGAGCTGGTGTTCTGCTCATCTTCATCTCCACTGTCCACGCAGAGTTTTTTCCAAAAGAAGCCTGCCCAAGCTGGTAAGAGATTCCTGCTTTGGTGGCAGGTCCCTTGGCTGTAGTACTTCACTTGTAATCTATGTATCAAAAGTAATCTGATATAATGATACTACGTGATATTCTGATGTGCAAATGACTGTTACGCAGATAGCGTTCTCTTTAAATCTGTTTGGCCTCAATTTACGGATACCCTTAGGTATCCGTAGGTATATACCTTATACTGTTAGGTATAAGGATACCGAAAGGTATCCTTATGTATAAATCCTTACCTTTAGGGATAAGGGGCTCATGTCGTCTTTGTGGATGCATACTTAGCTTGGCTTAGGACAGTAAATACTATCTCAAGGTCATGTTGATAGGTGTGTACATGTGGTAGAATCCTCCTCTTTGGGAGGATCCCTATGTTTGCAAAAACCATGCTAAAGGTAAAGCAGAGACAGACTTGGGATGCTTCCCAGTAACTTCAAATCCTTGTCAAGAAATAAAAATAGCTCCAAAGAAAATCCTATGATGAAATTCTCCCCGATACTGTGAGAGTATGAGAGCTGCGTAGGATCACTAGCACTGCTTGGACAGTTCGTTAAGCGTCTTTTCGCTTGAAGAACAGCTATCCCCTTTTCAACAGTATATTGTTGGCTGGTAATGTAGAGTCTACCCTGCCTTTAGAATGACCGTCTTCTGCCTCTCTTCTGCAGATAGAGATGTACGAACGTGTATTCCAGAAACCACCAGACCGTCACTCTGACTTTTCTCGCCTGGCTCGTGTTCTGACGGGAAATGCCATTGCGCTGGTCCTTGGGGGCGGAGGAGCAAGGTAGGTGGCTTATCCTGGGCACCCTGGTGCGTTGCTGCCAGATCCTGGAGCACCGCTGCCACTGGGCTGCAACGGATTCGTCAGGATAACAGGCGTCCCATAAAATCAGCACAGTTCTGTAAGCAGCATTTGGGGGAGATGTTGAGGAGTTGCTTTTGTTACAGAAACTTAACTTGCTGTCTGGGTTTGTGCTTGGATTTCTGCAGAAAGAACATGAGTGTTTGTGACATCTTGAGACCTCTATTAAGTTGGGCTTAATACCAGGAGCTGACCAGGGCACTAAATATGACTCTTCTTTCTTCTTCTTTTTGTTGGCCTACACTATGGATTTTTATTTTCCCTTATGGATTCTTATATTAGAAAATGGCTCACAATATTTCAAAGGCCCCCAAAGCTCTTCAAAGTTTGAGCAGCAAGAGGAGTTATGTCCTCTAATGGGCAAATGTTCTCTTCTTTATAATCGCCCAAAACCCCAGGTACCGATACACTTCTGACAGCCATGCTTTGCAGAAAGATTGTATTTTTGCAGACACAGAGGCAAGGTGTGTGCTGAACACTCAATTACAATTCCATCTGAATTCCTGGTAAGCTTTGGAAATAATTTATTAGTGACACTTTTCTTTGGAATACGTTTTTACTTTGAGAGTTTTATGTTGAGACAGACACAATTTAGTAGCCCTTTGTCTCAAGAGAGCGCTGCCTTCGTTGTCTTCACTGTGTTCTTGAAGCCCTTCTTTAAAACAGTGCTTTGAAATACTCCTGTCAAAAAAAAAAAAAAAAAAAAAAATTGCACATAGTCTGTCTATTTAAATCCATGGAAATATCACATTTTTGTCTTTGGGCCAGTGCGTGCTTTGGGGGGAGTATTTGCTACGGTAAAGGTTAGAGCTCCTTTGTGACAGCTTGTTCTGATTAGTCACTTGATGCTGAGACAGCCAGCGCTGCGGCTGTTGCCTTGAGTGTCTGCAAAGATGCCTTTATCCTGCTTGTTTTCAGTTTGCTCACCTAAGGTGATTCCAGTATTTCATTTCTGAGATAAGTACTATCCTGTGGAGACAGAAAGTAAAGCAGGGGAGGGGAGCTTCTGCTTAATCTGGGTATCTCAGGAGGCTTTTAATCGACTGGTGCAAAGAACTGGTGGTGTTTTGGTTTGGGTTGGGTTTTTTTGTTACAAGCTATCGGATATCTCTGTCTTTACTGAAGCCTGTGTCATGCTAAAATATGTGCACTTCTGTATTTCTGGCAGCACACTTTGCTCCTTCCCTTCCTTTCTTCCTTCTGTAAACACTGCTGTAATTTTTGCCAAACTATTTATTTTTTGTTCTACTACTTAATTTGCAAGCTCCCACCTGCTGTTTTTCAAGAGCAGAGGTAAGAAAGAGCAGGATTATTGAGCCTGTTTGGTCCTTGTTGTCCTCCACCGCAAATCTGAACCGCTGCACTTCTGCTGTCTTGGCTTTGGGATTTCTGGATGCGCACCACCCGTTCAGCAATGTGACCATGTCCCATTAGCCATTAATTTGCTCATTTCTGCATCTGTGCAATATGGACGACTTTAGGAGGATTAAAGGGCAGAATGGACAAATGCCATAATTTTCTTCTTTCTCTGACACCCTATTTATGTCATGGACTAAAACGCTTCCTCTGGGGGTTCATGCTGGCACATGGATGGTGTGAGCATTGTGTTTTCAGTGGAAAGATACAGGATACTATTTCTGTAGCTGAATCGTCATCTAAATTGTGGTTAGATGAAAGATTTGGATTTCTTAAAAATTTGTTTTCGAAATGAAAATATAATTAAGACTTAGGGGAAAGGACAAAGTTACTCAGAACTCCGTAAAAATCTGCCTTTGGAAGGTTCGCAAGTCAAAGTTCGTTCTTGGGTTCCCATCACTACTAACAAGGGAACTCCAAGGGATTATGCACCAGCTACTTAAAATCATCCTGTGATTAAAGCCCATTCCAGCTAAAAACATCATGATGGGTTGCTGCGCAGGCTCTTCGTGGTTCGTGTAGCCTTGGGATAATATGCTACGCAAAGTAACCTCCTGTCTTGTTCTGGAAGCGTGGATCATACTGGTCACAAAAACCAGAGAGAACTGATAGTTACAGGCTGCTGGCTGGTGGTTATTTCTGTTACAGGTATTGTGTTCTGTGACTCCAATAATATCAATTATTGTTATTTCGGGAATGTTTGTCTGGCTTCCCAGTGACGGTCAGTTTGGGAAGGTTTTACCAGAGCAGCCTCCTAGTAATTATCTTTGTGGTTTGTGATGACAAAAGGCTCATAGGAACTAAAGGTTTTCCTTCTCTTGCAGCTATAAAAATAAAACAAATCGAAGCAATACAGTTCCGAAATTATAGTGTTTTGCTTTTGTTGAGTGCTAACTCAATTTCAGTTAGAAACATTGTGGTGTTTGAGGGAGGGAAAGGGGATCTGCGTTTGGAAAATAAATACCTTTGAACTGTAGTTGCAAGAATAATGAACAAAGGCATAAACCCTTCCATACATCATTCTCATGACCTTTAGCCATTCCACGTACAGCCCACACTTTCTTTGGTTTTCTATAGTTGTCTTAGCAAAGTTGTTTGAAAACTAAAGTCTATGGGGAGTAAATAATGAATACAGAAGTATCTGGGAATACCTAGGGCTTTGGAAAAAAAATAAAGGGTCGTGCTGTTTCAGAAGACTGGCTTAAGCAAAACTGTGATGACAAGCTTTTGTTGTGGATTATAATGTCATGATTCCAGGAGTGAATTTGGTTCAACGTGCCTATTCCACATAGGCATAGTGGGAAAATACAAAGCTTTAGACCTGTTCCTATTTGGCTATTTTGATAGGAAACTGTATTTGCAGTAACACACGTGTGGTACAAATGTGATGTGCATAAGATGCACTTACTGAGAAGGAAAGAACTATCGTTGAAAGATATTACTTGCCTTTTTCGGATGTGCTATCTAAAGTAAGGCATAATAATCAGCCACACGTTCATGCTGAGAGTGAATGCACGTGGGGCCAGAGACCTTTACCGTCTGGTACTCGTGGGGTCGGCGCGTCCTGCCCCGTCCCTGCTACGTGGTGCGTGGGAAGACGGGGCTCCGCAGCACGCCGTGCCTTTCCCTTCTCTCCACGGCCCTTTCCTCCAGGCAGGGCGTTTAAGCCTTCCCTGAGGAGCTGCTGTTGAAGGATATTTGTAGCTATTTCATCAGGGCATCTTTTCTTTTCTCCTTTTTCCAGGTAGTTTTCTCCTCAAACTTGTTATTTCACCTCAGCTCTTGATACGTCACGTATTTTTTTTCCACAGCTCGTTCTTGCTGACTCTCTTTGACTCAGACTCACACCTTTTCATTTTGGACAGTTGGCCTGTTTCATCCACTTGTTCTTTCTGCCTTTTCTTCTTTGCTTTCAGCTCTGGCCCTCTGAAAAGGGAGGATAAAAGCAGCAGCACAAGAGAAGCGAGTTATGCTTGCCTTGTTATGGAGATATTTGTGTCCGGTGAACCCACCCGTCGCCCGGTCTGTCTGCCCGTGCTCCTGGAGCCGGTGCCATGTGCAGGGTGCTCGCGCTCCGTGCCCTTCGGGAAGGCCAGATGTGCGGGTCCATCTCCCACTCGGTCACTTATTGGGTGCTGCGCTGAGCCTGACTTGGGTCTCTGTGCTCCTTAAAGCCTGGCTTTATCTTCTGATTCGATGGCTTTACCCAATGATGAAAAGATCAGACGGGCGCCCGAGAGGCAGATCTCATAATTGTTCTGCTCTCGGGAGATCACGTTTGCCTTCTGCGCTCTCAGGGTTTGACTCCAAGACGCTGATTCCACAAAGAATAAAACGTGTTTTCATTCAACTGTCATCCCTGCTTGTCGTCTTTAGATCTGCCCTTCAGTTCCTGTCTCAGTCTTTGCTTTCAAGTCCTCTCTCAAAGGACCTATTGCGAAAAATATAGTTTGCCAACTGCTTCTACCATACTGTGGGGTGTCCTTATTTGTCAACTTAACAGAAATGCACTTGGCCTTGACATGATTCTCAGACCGTGCAGTGAGCTTCAGGGCCGCACTGCATTTTGCAAATGGACTATTGATAGCAATGTTTAAGGTTGCTCTCGGTGGTTTATAATGGGGTACAGGTATCCCCGTCATTTGTTATCTCTATCTCACAGTGCTTAAAATTCGCAGTAAACAGAGGGCTGACACCTTGAAAAATGTGTAAAAATCAGATTCTGATTCTTTGAAGTATTCAAAAAACGTAGTCTGATAAAAAAACTTGTTCTGAAGTAAATTATGAAACAAAATTCTTGCTAAAACCATTGTTCTTCATTCTGACCTTGGCTAGGATGGTTCTGAAAGAGCAACAACAGCCTCTCCGAGGTGCTTGTGGTGTCATGGGTTACTGCAGCTATTGAGGGTTAAATCACTTCACTGGTGTTCAACTCCTGACATCGCACGGGCTTGAGCAAATGGCTTAAATGCTTATAACTTGTGTTCTCCTTTTGTAAAACGAGGCATTTGGCATCTGTGCAGGTCACCGTTTGTAAATTGCTCTGAAGCACTTGCATGGAAAAGAAGTATGAACTATTACCACTAGGAATTGTTTGGCATTTTAGGAGGGTTTCGTTGTTTCTAAATGTATATGGATTTATGCTTTTGTCTCACGGGTTGGATGTGGTGGGGGAATTTGCTTGAAACCTAACATTATTATGATGAAGTTAACTCTCTTTCAGTGTGCACTGGCTGAGGAATAACAGGCTGCTGGTAACCCTGTTCCTGTTGTCCGAGTACAGTGCCAAGACACGGTCAACATTTTTGCAGGGGCTGCTGAGATTTGAGGGCACCCTTGCCCGTTCTGGGCAGCCAAGAGCCCCCACAAGCAAACCCTGTCGTCCCCAGCGCCAGCTGCTGTCTTCTCCCCCGGTGCAGAGATGCTGTAGCAGAGGGCTCTGGTGGAAGCCAGCAGGTTCCTGAGGAGCTGCCTCTGAAACCGAGCCTGTAGGATGTGCCAGCTCC